CAGACTTTGACTGTTTAATTCGAGATGACAAATCAGTGTGACCCAGTTTGTCAAATAAGTCAAGATCATCCTGACTAATATTAATGAGATTCATTATATAAGGGCTATTTTAAAATCTGGGACGCAAACATATAAACATGCAAAGCTTTCTCTTTATAGTTGTCTTATTTGTAAACTTTTATCCATCTCTTGAAATTTAGTTGTTTCCTTGACTTATGTTGGAGTTCAATTTCTATGGTGCAACGTAAGTTGATTTTGGCTGTATGTTGGAACTCACATACTGTACATCAGTACCTATGTCACTCGCCTACGCTAACACAGTGGTAACATCAAAATGTAGGACATAAAAACATCAGAAGAGTCTGACTTATGCCTGGGAGTCATAATGAAGGGCAAAAAATCCCCCCAAAAAACAACACAATTGAAAGAAAGCGAATGTAGCACGATCCAATGTAAGCCCTTAAAAAAAGTTTTTTTTCTACGTATAAATGAAATATCCATCTGCTCTGCTCACCAACAACTTCCTGTGTGAACTGCTTGGTGAGTTTTAACATTGTATGGAACGCCGGAACAAAACTTTCTTAATAGATTTATTCGTGTGAACTGCTTGGTGAGTTTTAACGTTGTATGGAACGCTGGAATGATGGAACAAAACTTTCTTAATAGATTTATTGGAGATGTAACATCGGAACGCCACAGTTGAATATGTCGTAAACTGATGACCCCATGTAGTCGTATATATGTCGTAAACTGATGACCCCATGTATAGAAATAATGTAAATAGTAATAATGTAAAAAGTTTGAAATTATTGTAATTTTTTTTATAATAATAACACTGAGGCAGTGGTTGGTTAAGGAAGTAACTGTAGTGACAAGTCTTTGTGTCAGAAAACCTGTTGATCACTGTCTGTTTTTCCAGGTGATGGACTGGATCGAGAACCATGGCGAGGCGTTTCTCAGCAAACACACTGGTGTTGGGAAGTCTCTGCACAGAGCCAGGGCGCTGCAGAAGAGACACGACGATTTTGAAGATGTAGCTCAGGTGAGTCCTGGAGCGTCGCCGTACCAAGCCGTGACCTAGGCCTGTGTCTGTAATAAGAAGTCCGGCCCAAATTTAAACCTATGAATGCACGCTTGAAATTAAAAGGGTCTGTTTGTCCCAAAATAACCACATTGTTTCTCCAATCTTACTTCAATCTGAGCTCCAGGAGTCCATGACTGGAGGGCATTGTAACAACAACTAGATCCTCTCCTACTATCAAACTTTTTTCTCTCTCTCCCTCTCTCTCTTTTTTTTAATCAAATGTTTGTCTGCCTGCCTCCTCCACCATCTGCTAGTAATCTGGGTTGATTAATCCCAAATTTTCAAAACCACCGTGGCTGGTGGTGGCAGGAAACATGAAGACATATGCCTCGACATAACCATTTATGGTTACAAGCCTCTGCTGAAAACATTCAGAAAAGATGTTCCCCATTCTTGATTTGAAGTGCTACACTTTATCGAGTAAGAACCACAGGAACTGAGGGCTTTTTTCTGGGGAATAAAGTTGTAAACAAAACATAGAAACATAGGGACCGCTGGTATAGATGTAACTACAAGAAACATGTCAAAGGTCTAAGGAAATGTGGGTGAAACTATAAAGACAAAGTTAAACACTGAAACCTCCTGAACAATAATACACTCTAGAACAGTGGTGTCAAACTCATTTTCACTGGGGGGTCAAATCAGCAATATAGTTTCCCTTGTAGGGCCGGTTGTATACATCAGGGGTTTCCAACCTCCGGTACACGGACCAGTACTAGTCCATAGGTTAGAAAGAAGAAAGAAGAAAATCCAGTCATTAAAAATGTACTTTCTTTATTTAAAGATAATCTGACAATATTTTCATGTCATTATGTCATTCAGACTCTGATACAAACAGAATAGAGTCTAGTAGATGTTTTATTTTGAAAATCCTTCAATGCTCAGCACTTTGCTACTGGTCTGTAGTAACAGTCCTTGGAACAAATAATGTCGGGGACCGCTGGTATAGATGTAACTACTCCGTGACAGACTAATACATGTTTCAGCAATTGATTATTATTTATTCAAGACACAAATATTGTTAATTTTTGTGTAATAAAAAAAACCTTTTTATTTGTCAGGTTAGAAAGAAACTCTGCTGCACTTCATTTACCTTTAGCTGACTGTCTGAAGAGCTTGGACATTTAGCTTTAGCTGACTGTCTGAAGAGCTTGGAGACACAAATTTGACAGCGCTCATTTTTTTCAGCAAGAATTCTTTTGATACATTGTGTGTGAGGTGTGAATTATTTACTGGCTGATCAGAGAACTACAGTGTATTTGTAAGCGAAAGCCTACTTTGACATGACGGAGCTTTAGTACAGCTCTTTAATCTCTACTTCACTGTCTCCCTTTATCTTCTTTCTTCCTCCCAGTTTTGAATCTCATTTGTTCATCACTTCGTCCTTCACCTCATGAACGCAGCTGAACAGCTTCTCATTCGCTCATTTAGTCTTCAGCTCATTTATTCGTACTCCAGGCCTTTGGTCCGAGTTGCAAAAAAAGCCAAATGTTTTCCGTAACATCTGGTTCATTCTTCCATAAAATTCCACTGAAACAAGCGTCTCTGTAATCATTTTCCTTTCTCTTTCTGCTCGGTGGAGTTTCAGTGTAGAAATAATCCTGTAAAAGAGTGAAGTTTAATCCCATAAAAAAGGGATGGACCGGTGTAATGCGGTGTTTACTCTGTAGATTAGGATTAACCTTTGAAACCCGCTGTAGCTCCGCTGTATTAAAAAACTGTCAAGTGTGTTTCCGACTCTACTCTAATTCCTCTCAGGAATTAAAAGAAAATACTTTGAAGAATATATTCTAAACCTTTTATTTTCTTTCACCATCATTAGAGAAATCCTAACTGAAGTTCACCTCATTTGCATGTGATTATCTGCTGCTGCAGTGAAATCAAACTCCTCCCCCAAAAGGCAGTTGCCTCTGCCTCCTGCTGCTGCTGCACCACCACCAGCGTTGGTAGGTTGATGGTCAGGTCAGAGCGCCACATTCTTGTGGTTTTTCCTCTGGTGGAATAATAGACCGGCCTCAGGGTGGAAAACATAAGTGTGTTTGGAAATTCAAAGGAAGACTTGAAGTCGGGTGATTTGTCATCGTGTCATGAAGTGTTTCTGGAGTGTTTAAGGCCAGCGCCTGAGGATGTTTCTGTGTAGTTACATTGCTGCTTGTGAATGATTGTTTTGTGTTTTGTTATGGTGGTTGCTTGTGTTTTTGAAAGTTAGTTTACAAAGTGCCCACTTGAGCATTAATGGACGGTTGCTGAAATGGCTGTAGGCAGTGTTTGGTGTTTGGGTCCAGGACACGGCGTCGGAGCCGGAGAGCTTTACAACCTCACAACCAGCAGTTCAAGTGACCACACACTTCACTTCAGACAGAGAGAGATAACTTAAAAATGACAGAAGTGATGGCAAATAAAAACATATCATCCATACTTTTTTTTTACGGTCCCTAGAGTTGTATCTGCGCGGATCTCTCTTTTGCCATAATTCAGTTACCCAGGAGACCTGTTTAGTCCCCACTATCTGTGGTCCTAATTATCATGCTTCTGATTTCTGCTTCTGTATAAATGGCTGATTTTGTATATACTGTCGACTTGCACTTCCACTTCCTTCAATTACACCCCTAATTATCACCACCTTAAACCAAACCTATCCTACAGCAAAGAGGAATAATCTCCTGTGAATTTTAATCTCATTTCCAACCGTAATGAACTATATGCGCTAATCTCATGCAGATTATGATGCAGGGGTGGCATCACAACATAAAATACCATTTTCATGATTTCACAACACAAATACTCCGGATGGATTGAAAGAGTGGAATATGGAGTGGTGTGAAATATCACGGTGATACTCTCTCATACTTACACTAATCCATTTTCCTCTTCATGCGCCAAGAGCTTTTACGCTGAGACGGGGTTTTTGTCCCGTTTATTGGCAGCGGGAATGTAGAAACAGGAAACGTAACAGTGTCAGATTAGAATTGTTTCAATACGTGCTTATGTGGATGTGTTTTTAATAACTATAAAATTGTAAATATTTGAGTTACTTTGTTACTACTTTGATGTGAATGCAGATGATGATGATAAGAGCGCCCTCTCTCCTTCCAGAACACTTACACTAACGCAGACAAACTGCTGGAGGCAGCCGAGCAGCTGGCTCAGACTGGTGAATGTGACCCAGAGGAAATCTACAAAGCAGCCCGACACCTGGAGGTCCGGATCCAGGACTTTGTTCGGCGAGTGGAACACAGGAAGCTGCTGCTCGACATGTCTGTCTCCTTCCACACACACACCAAGGAGGTGAGAGGAAAATGCCACTTCCTCACACAGTGTGGACACTGACGTTTTCTGCCTTTAGTAGAACCTGGTATAAATTTCAAACAACATATATCAATGTATATAGCAAAATATATGTAAATAAGCAGTGCAACAAAAGCTATTTTAATAAGGGCTAAAAACAGTCTAATCCAGAGTTAAAGTAGTTTTAACCTTAATTAAAACTCTGATGGAAATCTGGCACATAGAGCCAAAAAAACTGACAAGAAATGATTTAAATTCAACCCAGACATTACTAAACGGTAGCTAGTGATGAAGAGGAAGAAGGAGGATCATTAGTCATCGTTAGTAAGGATCAGCTAAAGGTTTGTTTAAAATACATTCATCAAAATGATGGTTAGAAAAAGCTAAGTGAGCTAAGCAAAGCTAACTTAGAAAAAACTGTTAGGGTAGCTATTAGGGACGTAACGACACATCATGATTTTTAGTTGTCAATGGTAGTTTGCATAATTCTTACACATAAATTAATAAAATAGTATTTGGTCGTAATTTGTTTGGAGCTCAATTTGTTTAAAAAATATGTTATAAAATCAACAAAATAAAATCGTGATTAAGAAGTCCTAATGACATTTTTGACATTTTGTTTTCCCTTCTTTGGATCTGATTGGTTATTCAAATCATACTGAGCTGTCTGTCTTTCTCTCCGTCTGTCTCCGTGTCCAGCTGTGGTCCTGGATGGAGGAGCTACAGAAGCAGCTGTTGGACGACGTGAGCTGCGACTCGGTGGACTCGGTTCAAACTCTGATCCAGCAGTTTCAGCAGCAGCAGACAGCCACGCTGGAGGCCACGCTTAATGTGATTAAAGAAGGAGAGGAGTTGATACAGCAGCTCAGGTATTACAGGGACACTGAACCTTCTGCCTCTGGCCAATTTTATATATATATACGTAGACGTATAGACGTTTCTTTAATTTTTTAGGTTTTTTAATTTATTTGATTACTTCATAATAAATAATATTTACAGTACTAACTAACTTCATCCCTGAATCAATATCAATCCTGTAATCCACGGAGGACAGACAGCAAGCCTCTATTGATGACTCTTTCTCCGTGGACTCAAAATGTTGACAACTCCTAGTTAACAATATCCATATGTATGTCATGATCCATGCTCACTAAGAAAGCAAATGTGTCATTTTTCTACTTTTGGCAATTAGCTTTTTTGCAGCTCTAAATCCAGCTAATAATCCTTGTTTCTTGCTTAATATCAAACTTTAAACAATCATTCAGAGTCATTGTGGTGGGCACATACTATAAGTAGATTATCTTGATTTTCACCAATTTAGAGAGCTTAATACTACAGTTCCTTATTGTTTTCTTCTGTAGAGATGCAGCCATGTCGACCAACAAGACACCCCACTGCAGTTCCATTGCCCACATCCAGGGGGTGCTGCAGCAACTTGATGAGGCCCAAGGCCAGATGGAAGAGCTGTTCCACGAGCGGAAAATCAAACTGGACATCTTCCTCCAGTTACGCATCTTTGAGCAGTACACCATAGAGGTTAGTGGAGAAGGGTCTGTCGGTGTGGTGTCGGCTCTCAGGCCTCACAGGCTGATTTTGACCGTTTACAAAACACCAAAACAATAATCCATCCCTACTTGTGTTTCATAAATGTTATGAATTATGTTTATAAGGAAGCTGTTTTCAAAAAGAGAGTGTAGTATTTGTATTTTTGTCCACTGCTTCAAGAGAATAAAGTCTGTGATTTCTACAAATAGTTTTATAAGTTTCAAGGATTTCAGAGTTATTTTTCTATTCAGATTAACAAATCTGACCCAACTATGCCAAGAGAAGTGAAAACAGATAAGTTTGTACTATGTCTCTACAGACTTTGGTACTGGAGCTTGTGAGTTTTTTAGTCAAACACAGAGCACAGAATTAAAACGTTATTATTTTTTCCTAACTTCATTATTATTATTATTATAATTATTATTATAATTATTATTATAATAATAATTATTATTATTATTATTATTATTATTATTGCTCATTAAATGAACTGTTGAAAAGTGATGACCAAACTACAACAATAATACAATAAAACCAAAACTTTGTTTTTTCCTGTTCTGTTATTGTTTCTTTTGCCTGCAGGTAACAGCAGAGTTAGACGCCTGGAACGAGGATCTCTCCCGTCAGCTGAACGATGCCGGCCGTTCTGGCAGCAGCAGCAGCAGTAGCAGCAGCAGCAGCAACGGCTCCACTAGCGGCGCGGAGGACATTGGGCTGGCGGAGCAGCGGCTGAAGCGGCACGCGGAGAGGAAGGCGGCCATGAACAACATGACCTATGAAGTGATGCAGCAGGGCCAAGACTTACACCAGTACATTATGGAAGTTCAGGCTTCAGGTGAGTCCATGCACTCACTCTTATGCAGTGTAGTGCAACCCAAGTTGTAAACGTTTTCCATCTTAGCTGCAAATTTGCAGCCTAGAGCGAATAAAACTGTTGGCTCTAAAAGACAGCTGTACCAGGGTTTTCACCATCTTTCTTTTTTTTTCAGCGTTTATTAATGTTACCAGTAAGTGGAGCTTTATCCTAGTGAATAGTCCTTTATTGACTCTCATATTGTTAAGGTGTGAACTCAACATTATATTTCACCAAACAGCAAATTCTTGTTTTGCTTCTAAACCTGTCAAACACAAATACCTTTTGGTATTTATATATTATGGATTTTTTTTGTGACTTTTGTGTGCAAGTTTAGGCCATGAAAAATTTATTTAAATTTAAACATTTTAAAAGAAATTATAGCGGCAGCAATAAAGTCCTGCCACTACTTGCTTGTCATGCAGTGCTGCTTGGGGAGCCACAGGAAACTTTTAGGCAATTTGGCGGCCCAGTTTTCAGACCATTTAAAACTCATTAGGGCGTAGGAGGATGTCAGCCTTACAGGAGAGAGGAAAATACTGGTAATATGGATTAAAATTTAAAAATTACAGCCTAAATAAACTCACACTTTAGAATTAGTAGCTTTTGCTCTTGGTGTATTCTAATGCAGAGGTCCTCAACCTCTGGTCCGTGGGCCATTTGGTACCAAGCTTCATGTAAACAGCATTCACTCATTACCATTTACTTTCCTCATATAAAGTTAATTCCAAAATTTTCAAAATAATATGTCTTTCAGACACCAATACTAACAGAGTAAAGACTAAAAGATGTTTTATTTTGAAAATTTACCAATCCTTAACAATCCTTTAATAATTTTTTTAATAAATTGGTTTAACGCTACCTTACCGTAACATTTTCTTTTTGTCTCTCAGGAATTGAACTGACTGGTGAGAAGGACATGGACTTGGCCTCTCAGGTCCAGGAGCTGCTAGAGTTTCTACACGAGAAGCAGCAGGAGGTAGACCTCAACGCCCAGCGCACGCACACACGGCTGGAGCAGACCCTGCAGCTGCGCCATCTACAGGCCGAGGTGAAACAGGTAAAGCAAAACTTTTTTTTTTCTTCTCCCAAATGTAATATGGTTGCGATGCAAACGTTGAACCACAAATACTCAGTCTGTTGTGGAATTTACTGCATTAAATACTTATGTACGGTCCATAAAAACACCCAGATTACTACTTTGCCCCTGCGCCAAAGTAGCCAAGAAGTACAGTTGGGATTTATTGTGGCACGTTAGTTTTGACTTTATTATTAGCAACAAAGTAAATTGTTGAAGGAGAAAGACTCCACTGTGTTGGAGCCAAGACAAGAATAACAGCCTGCTCTTCCTCCCCTGTGACAGCAAGTGTTTTAGTGTTTCTGTGGAGAAACCCCTGCACATGTGAATATGAATGTGATGTGTCCAGAGACAGGAAACAAGGCGGCTGCTGTTGCTGCTGCTGCAGATGGATCTGACTGAATTATTAATAAGCTGTATGGCAATGTGATAATAACACATATGTAAACACATGAAAACATATCCCAGCGCCTCTTACACTGCCAGACCCAGTGGTGCAATAGAACTCCCCAGGCTCTAGATAGACTGAAAAATACAGCATTATTATTGTTGTTGTTGTTGTTGTTGTTATT